TGTGTGTGTGTGAGTGTGTGAGACTGTGTGTGTGTGAGTGTGTGAGACTGTGTGTGTGTGAGTGTGTGAGACTGTGTGTGTGTGAGTGTGTGAGACTGTGTGTGTGTGAGTGTGTGAGACTGTGTGTGTGTGAGTGTGTGAGACTGTGTGTGTGTGAGACTGTGTGTGTGTGAGTGTGAGACTGTGTGTGTGTGAGACTGTGTGTGTGAGACTGTGTGTGTGTGTGAGACTGTGTGTGTGTGTGTGAGACTGTGTGTGTCTTTGTTTGAGTGGGGAGCGGTAGTGTAGCGGTTAGCGAGCGCGCTGCACTACGAACTACAATGCACGAAAAACCCCAATCTGGTTCCGTCTGCCTGTGTGCAAAGACGTGAGTGTGTGAGACTGTGTGTGAGACTGTGTGTGTGTGAGACTGTGTGAGCGTGTGTGTCCGTGTGTGTGTGTATGTGTGTGAGACTGTGTGACTGTGTGTGAGACTGTGTGAGCGTGTGTGTGTGTTTGTGTGTATGTGTGTGAGACTGTGTGTGTGTCTTTGTTTGAGTGGGGTGCGGTAGTGTCGATGTTAGTGCTGCGCTACGAACCCGGCAGATTCCCACTTAAAGGCCACCAACACCACTGACGATTATCTGAACCGGTCCTGGGTCTCCCCTAGGTCGACTCGGCCTCAATTGAGTATCTGGTGCGGTGTGTGGCAAACATCGTCACTGGTGAGACAGAGGTGGTCGGGTGTGGTGCTGGCCACCCACCCACCCACCCAAAATAGTGTGCCGTTCCAGCCTTCGTAGGTGCTGCTACTCGCTAAAGGCGCACTTGCCCCAACGGTATGTTAAGGCTATACGGGGTATCCTTATCTTTGGTGTGGTGTGTGTTGTCGATTTGGCTCTTGTGGGAGGAGGAAACCGGAACACCCGAAGGAAATGTGTGTAGAACAGGGGGAGAGAACACACACACACTCCACTCACTCACTGTGCAGAACAGGGAGAGAACACATACACACTCCACTCACTCACTGTGCAGAACAGGGGGAGAGAACACACACACACTCCACTCACTCACTGTGCAGAACAGGGGGAGAGAACACACACACACTCCACTCACTCACTGTGCAGAACAGGGAGAGAACACACACACTCCACTCACTCACTGTGCAGAACAGGGAGAGAACACACACACTGCACTCACTGTGCAGAACAGGGAGAGAACACACACACACTGCACTCACTCACTGTGCAGAACAGGGGGAGAGAACACACACACACTGCACGCACTCACTGTGCAGAACAGGGGGAGAGAACACATACACACTCCACTCACTCACTGTGCAGAACAGGGAGAGAGAACACACACACACTCCACTCACTGTGCAGAACAGGGGGAGAACACACACACTCCACTCACTGTGTAGAACAGGGGGAGAGAACACACACACTCCACTCACTGTGTAGAACAGGGGGAGAGAACACACACACTCCACTCACTGTGTAGAACAGGGGGAGAGAACACACACACTCCACTCACTGTGTAGAACAGGGAGAGAACACACACACTCCACTCACTGTGCAGAACAGGGAGAGATCACACACACTCCACTCACTGTGCAGAACAGGGGGAGAGAACACACACTCCACTCACTGTGCAGAACAGGGGGAGAGAACACACACTCCACTCACTGTGCAGAACAGGGAGAGAACACACACACACTCCACTCACTGTGTAGAACAGGGGGAGAGAACACACACACTCCACTCACTGTGTAGAACAGGGGGAGAGAACACACACACTCCACTCACTGTGTAGAACAGGGAGAGAACACACACACTGCACTCACTCACTGTGCAGAACAGGGAGAGATCACACACACTCCACTCACTGTGTAGAACAGGGAGAGAACACACACACTGCACTCACTCACTGTGCAGAACAGGGAGAGAACACACACACTCCACTCACTGTGTAGAACAGGGAGAGAACACACACACTGCACTCACTCACTGTGCAGAACAGGGAGAGATCGCACACACTCCACTCACTGTGTAGAACAGGGGGAGAGAACACACACACTCCACTCACTGTGCAGAACAGGGGGAGAGAACACACACTCCACTCACTGTGCAGAACAGGGAGAGAGAACACACACACTCCACTCACTCACTGTGCAGAACAGCAGGAAATAATACAAACTCCACTCACTGTGTAAAACAGGGGGAGATCATACAAATTCCACTCACTCACTCTGTAGAACAGGGGGAGATCATACAAACTCCACTCACTCACTCTGTAGAACAGGGGGAGATCATACAAACTCCACTCACTCACTCTGTACAACAGGGGGAGATCACACAAACTCCACTCACTCACTCTGTAGAACAGGGGGAGATCACACAAACTCCACTCACTCTGTAGAACAGGGGGAGATCACACAAACTCCACTCACTCACTCTGTAGAACAGGGGGAGATCACACAAACTCCACTCGCTCTGTAGAACAGGGGGAGATCACACAAACTCCACTCACTCACTCTGTAGAACAGGGGGAGATCACACAAACTCCACTCACTCTGTAGAACAGGGGGTGATCACACAAACTCCATTCACTCACTCTGTAGAACAGGGGGAGATCATACAAACTCCACACACTGCAGAACATGATTCTAAATGGATGGAAAATCTGGAAAGACCTGGAGAAAAATCCACGTGACCACGGGGAGAGAGAGAGAGAGACACGCAAACTCGGAATATACAAACAGACGTCTGGTCGGGATTGAACCCGCGAGTTCCTGTGTACCAGGCGCGGTAGTTAACAGCTCCTAGCCACCGCGATGATGAGAGAGAAAAATACAAACTCCAAGTATACAGCAGCAGGCATCGTAAGGGTCAGGAGTGAACCCACGACCTCCTGTACACCAGGCGAGGTAGTTAACATCTCCTAGCCACCGTGATGATGATGATGAGAGAGACACTCAGACTCCACATCTACAGCAGCAGCAGCAGGCATCGTGAGGATCGGGATCGAACCCACGACTTCCTGTGCACAAGGCGAGGTAGTCAACATCTCATAGCCACCGTGATGATGTTGATAGAGAGAGAGACGCAGACTCCACATATACAGCAGGCGTTGTCAGGGTCGGTATCGAACCCACGACCTCCCGCGTACGAGGCGAGGTGATTAACAGCTCCGAGCCACCGTGGCACCCAGGTTTATTTAAGACCGAGAAGAAAAATATGCAAACGGCCCAAAAAAGAAATGTAGGAGTCAATTCATTGGGGCAGCGGTGTGGAAAGTTTACGCACTCGGCCGTGAGTATTTACATGTTTCGTAGCGGCAGGGGTGGGCGCAGTGGTGAGCGCACTCCGCTCCGAAACCCGGTGATGCACGGTCACTACCACCGCCATCACCATCACCGTCTCATCACACAGAGACCCTTAGACTCATCGCACAGAGACCCATAGACTCATCGCACAGAGACCCATAAACTCATCGCACAGAGACCCATAGACTCATCACACGGAGACCCACAGACTCATCTCACAGAGACCCACAGACTCATCACAGAGACCCACAGACTCATCGCACAGAGACCCAGAGACTCATCGCACAGAGACCCACAGACTCATCGCACAGAGACCCAGAGACTCATCACACAGAGACCTACAGACTCATCACACAGAGACACCATAGACTCATCGCACAGATACCCACAGACTCATCGCACAGAGACCCATAGACTCATCGCACAGAGACCCACAGACTCACCACACAGAGACCCATAGACTCATCACACAGAGACCCACAGACTCACCACACAGAGACCCACAGACTCATCACACAGAGACCCACAGACTCACCACACAGAGACCCACAGACTCATCACAGAGACCCACAGACTCATCACACAGAGACCCACAGACTCATCACACAGAGACCCACAGACTCATCGCACAGAGACCCACAGACTCATCACACAGAGACCCACAGACTCATCAGAGACCCACAGACTCATCACGCAGAGACCCACAGACTCGCACAGAGACCCATAAACTCATCAAACAGAAACCCTTCGACTCATCGCACAGAGACCCAAGTTCAACATACACGTACACACACGACCATCGACCTATCCGCCCCCTCCTCCCAACCTCATCACGTCTCCCACCTCAGTCTACCTCCACCCCCCCCCCACACACATCCAGCTGCCAGGTGCACCGCGTTCTGCAACATTCCTGCACATCCCCAGCTGCTAAGCAGAGACGACAGCGGAAAGATCGTCCCGTCAGGGGGGGAAGGGGGGTCGAAATCGCTCGCGACACGCCGTGCTCCCTTTCCTCCTTCGCGCTATACACCGAGCTAGGCCTCGGCAAGGTAAGGTAAAAGTGTAAAAGCAACGAGCATACCTTTACCCTACCTTTTACCTTACCACAATACAATCACTCTACCCTACCTTTTATACCCTTTAGCAGGTAAGGTAAAAAGCAACGAGCCTACCTTTTTAAATCCTTTATATTAAGTTCGCTTGCTTGCGTGCTTGCTTGCTTACGACCGTGCAAATCTTTCGGTCGTTTTTTAACCCACTTCCCGTGATACAATCGAGCTGACATTTTGCACACAGACTCGTTGTGCGTGACAATTAATGTTCGTCAAAATTTTTTTCAAACATTTTACACTTTTTAGGGAATTTTTTTAAAAATATTTAATTACCGATTGCTTAATGCTGGCAGACAATCATCTGACCCATAGGTGGCAGCCATCTCAAGCCAGAGGACGAGAGGACTCTAGCCGCCACGCATATAAAGGATTTAGAGTGAAAAACTTTGTTTTACCCTACCCTTTACCCTTACCCCTTGGCATGTCGACACCTTTACCCTATGACCCGGTAAAAAGGGTACAATTACCTTGCCTTGCCGAGGTGCTGGCAATGAGACACCCGACATGGCCGCACGCACAGACGCGGCGAGAATGGACGTTTCTTTTGCCGTTTCACGTGTGCGTCCCGTCCCTGTGCGTAGCGACGTGCGCCTGGCACTGCGGATCGCTGCCCTCGTGGCCGTGAGGGTTAGCGACGCGCGGTAGCGATGTACGCGCTGAACTTCTATGGCGCCGTACGTAGCCAACCGAGTTGATCGGAGGAAGCGCATCTGAAAGCGTGCAATGCAGTGTGTGAGTCTGTGGGTCTCTGTGAGTCTGTGGGTCTCTGTGTGGCGAGTCTGTGGGTCTCTGTGTGTGAGTCTGTGGGTCTCTGTGGTGAGTCTGTGGGTCTCTGTGTGGTGAGTCTGTGGGTCTCTGTGTGAGTCTGTGGGTCTCTGTGTGGTGAGTCTGTGGGTCTCTGTGTGTGAGTCTGTGGGTCTCTGTGTGTGAGTCTGTGGGTCTCTGTGTGTGAGTCTGTGGGTCTCTGTGTGAGTCTGTGGGTCTCTGTGTGATGAGTCTGTGGGTCTCTGTGTGTGAGTCTATGGGTCTCTGGTGAGTCTGTGGGTCTCTGTGGTGAGTGGGTCTCTGTGGTGAGTCTGTGGGTCTCGTGGTGAGTCTGTGGGTCTCTGTGTGGTGAGTCTGTGGGTCTCTGTGTGGTGAGTCTGTGGGTCTCTGTGTGTGTGAGTCTGTGGGTCTCTGTGTGATGAGTCTGTGGGTCTCTGTGTGGTGAGTCTGTGGGTCTCTGTGGTGAGTCTGTGGGTCTCTGTGTGGTGAGTCTGTGGGTCTCTGTGTGTGAGTCTGTGGGTCTCTGTGTGGTGAGTCTGTGGGTCTCTGTGTGTGAGTCTGTGGGTCTCTGTGTGTGAGTCTGTGGGTCTCTGTGTGGGTCTGTGGGTCTCTGTGTGGAGTCTGTGGGTCTCTGTGTGTGAGTCTGTGGGTCTCTGTGTGGTGAGTCTGTGGGTCTCTGTGTGTGAGTCTGTGGGTCTCTGTGTGGTGAGTCTGTGGGTCTCTGTGTGTGAGTCTGTGGGTCTCTGTGTGGTGAGTCTGTGGGTCTCTGTGTGATGAGTCTGTGGGTCTCTGTGGTGAGTCTGTGGGTCTCTGTGTGTGAGTCTGTGGGTCTCTGTGTGGGGAGTCTGTGGGTCTCTGTGTGTGAGTCTGTGGGTCTCTGTGTGTGAGTCTGTGGGTCTCTGTGTGTGAGTCTGTGGGTCTCTGTGTGGTGAGTCTGTGGGTCTCTGTGTGTGAGTCTGTGGGTCTCTGTGTGAGTCTATGGGTCTCTGTGTGTGAGTCTGTGGGTCTCTGTGTGAGTCTGTGGGTCTCTGTGTGGTGAGTCTGTGGGTCTCTGTGTGTGAGTCTGTGGGTCTCTGTGTGTGAGTCTGTGGGTCTCTGTGTGAGTCTGTGGGTCTCTGTGTGTGAGTCTGTGGGTCTCTGTGTGTGAGTCTGTGGGTCTCTGTGGTGAGTCTGTGGGTCTCTGTGTGGTGAGTCTGTGGGTCTCTGTGGTGAGTCTGTGGGTCTCTGTGGTGAGTCTGTGGGTCTCTGTGGTGAGTCTGTGGGTCTCTGTGGTGAGTCTGTGGGTCTCTGTGGTGAGTCTGTGGGTCTCTGTGGTGAGTCTGTGGGTGAGTCTGTGGGTCTCTGTGTGTGAGTCTGTGGGTCTCTGTGTGTGAGTCTGTGGGTCTCTGTGTGTGAGTCTGTGGGTCTCTGTGTGTGAGTCTGTGGGTCTCTGTGTGTGAGTCTGTGGGTCTCTGTGTGGTGAGTCTGGGTCTCTGTGTGTGTGAGTCTGGGTCTCTGTGTGTGAGTCTATGGGTCTCTGTCTGTGTGTGAGTCTGGGTCTCTGTGGTGAGTCTGGGTCTCTGTGTGTGAGTCTGTGGGTCTCTGTGTGTGAGTCTGTGGGTCTCTGTGTGAGTCTATGGGTCTGTGTGGTGAGTCTGGGTCTCTGTGGTGAGTCTGTGGGTCTCTGTGTGTGAGTCTGTGGGTCTCTGTGTGGTGAGTGTGGGTCTCTGTGTGGTGAGTCTGTGGGTCTCTGTGTGGTGAGTCTGTGGGTCTCTGTGTGGTGAGTCTGTGGGTCTCTGTGTGGTGAGTCTGTGGGTCTCTGTGTGAGTCTGTGGGTCTCTGTGTGGTGAGTCTGTGGGTCTCTGTGGTGAGTCTGTGGGTCTCTGTGTGTGAGTCTGTGGTCTGTGTGTGAGTCTGTGGGTCTCTGTGTGTGAGTCTGTGGGTCTCTGTGTGTGAGTCTGTGGGTCTCTGTGTGAGTCTGTGGGTCTCTGTGTGGTGAGTCTGTGGGTCTCTGTGTGGTCGTGGGTCTCTGTGTGTGAGTCTGTGTGTGTGTGAGTCTGTGGGTCTCTGTGTGAGTCTGTGGGTCTCTGTGTGGTGAGTCTGTGGGTCTCTGTGTGTGAGTCTGTGGGTCTCTGTGTGTGAGTCTGTGGGTCTCTGTGTGTGAGTCTGTGGGTCTCTGTGTGTGAGTCTGTGGGTCTCTGTGTGTGAGTCTTGGGTCTCTGTGTGTGAGTCTGTGGGTCTCTGTGTGTGAGTCTGTGGGTCTCTGTGTGTGAGTCTGTGGGTCTCTGTGTGTGAGTCTGTGGGTCTCTGTGTGTGAGTCTGTGGGTCTCGTGTGGTGAGTCTTGGGTCTCTGTGTGAGTCTGGGGTCTCTGTGTGAGTCTGTGGGTCTGTGTGGTGAGTCTGTGGGTCTCTGTGTGATGATCTGTGGGTTTCGGTGGCTTCCTAATATCGGAAGGGAGAGCGTTCCAGACGGCCACAGTAACGCATCTTAACGCGGCGGTGACGACGCAGCAGGAACCACTGTCTCTGTCAACATCCCTTTCCTTCCCCCCTCCTCATCGCCGTCGCGTTTGCCGACAGACGCAGACAGACACTCGCCATCGTCATCGTCATCCTGGTCGTGTGAGCTTCCTTTGCTGCTGCGGCGAAAAAGTTTCGCCGCAGACTCCCGACGACGCGATTGTCCCCGTGTCTGGCGGTGCGCGCGAGACGGCGGCTAAACAGGGAGCCGCAGGGTTAAGTGACGGTGGGTGGGTGGGTGAGTGGGGGTGGGTGGGTGGGGAGAGGTGCGGCGTGGGGAAGGGGGTTCAGCGGGATGAGGTCAGGGTTACGTGGGGTTAGCCCGAGTGTTGGACACGGCCCATTATAAAGGTAGTAGTGTGTAGTGTGCAGCGTAGTGTGTAGTATATAGTGTGTATAGTGTAGTGTATAGTGTAGTGTGTGTAGCGTGTAGTGTATAGTGTATAGTGTATCGTGTAGTGTGTAGTGTAGTGTATAGTGTAGCGTGTAATGTGAGTGTAGTGTATAGTGTAGCGTGTAGTGTGTGTGTAGCGTATAGTGTAGTGTAGTGTGTAGTGTATAGTGTAGTGTATCGTGTAGTGTGTAGTGTAGTAGTGTAGCGTGTAGTGTATAGTGTAGTGTATAGTGTAGTGTATAGTGTATCGTGTAGTGTATAGTGTTGTAGTGTATCGTGTAGTGTGTAGTGTAGTGTATAGTGTAGTGTAGTCTGTAGTGTAGCGTGTAGTGTAGCGTATAGTGTATAGTGTAGTGTATAGTAGTGTAGTGTGTATAGTGTAGTGTGTATAGTGTAGTGTGTAGTGTATAGTATAGTGTAGTGTATAGTATAGTGTGTAGTGTATAGTGTAGTGAGTAGTGTATAGTGTAGTGAATAGTGTAGTGAATAGTGTAGTGTATAGTGTGTAGTGTAGTGTATAGTGTGTAGTAGTGTATAGTATAGTGTGTAGTGTGTAGTATAGTGTGTAGTGTGTAGTATAGTGTGTAGTGTGTAGTATAGTGTAGTGTATAGTGTAGTGTGTAGTGTATAGTGTAGCGTGTAGTATATAGTGTAGTGTATAGTGTATAGTATAGTGTGTAGTGTGTGTACGTTGAAAATTCATTTTGCACCATACGTAGCCGACCGTGATAATCGGAGGCACGGGGGGGGGGGGGGGGGGAGGACATCAAACTAAACACAACAACAACAAGAAGCAGTTCTAAAGAAATGAGTTTGTCCATCTTAACGGTGATTTAAAAGTGCAAAGCTCCCGGTGTCCTCCTCATGTCTTAAGGAAGAGACCCACAGAGACCCACAGAGACCCACAGAGACCCACAGAGACCCCCAGACAGACCTACACTCGTACGCCTGTTCAACTTCTTTCGCACGATGTGCCACGGTGTACAGGAGATGTTATGGGTTCGATCCTGACTGTGACGATGCCTGCTGTACATTTGGAGTTTGCGTGTCTCTCTCTCTCTCGCTCTTACTGTCTCCGCATGGATCTTTCTCCAGGTCCTCTGGTTTTTTTTTCCCATCCCAATTTAGAAACAACATCGCCACGCGTTTAGAGAATTTGGCTATTGCTGGAGAAAAAGTTCCCACGATGACGACGACGATGATGATAAGTCCACTTCCTTGGGCTATCATTTGTGAAAGCGCGGTCGCTTCTGATAGAGCTCTGTCGTAGCTTGGCGGGCCTTACATGGGAAACGGCACGGGCGTGTAGGTGATTCTGTTTTACATTTGCGTGCTGTGGTTCAAATAGGGAAGTACAAAACCTCGACCAGGTGCAGAGTTTGCCTGAGTCATAGTGGGGGGGGGGGGGGGGGGTTGTATGGGGTTCGTGGGGTGGGTGGATGGGTGGATGGGTGGGTGGGTGGTGGGTGGGTGGATGGGTGGGTGGGTGGTGGATGGGTGGGTGGGTGGTGGATGGGTGGGTGGGTGGTGGATGGGTGGGTGGGTGGTGGATGGGTGGGTGGGTGGGTGGGTGGGTGGGTGGATGAGTGGGTGGGTGGATGAGTGGGTGGATGAGTGGATGGGTGGGATGGGTGGATGGGTGGGTGGGTGGGTGGGTGGGTGGATGGGTGGGTGGGTGGGTGGGTGGGTGGGTGGATGGGTGGGTGGGTGGATGGGTGGGTGGGTGGGTGGGTGGATGGGTGGGTGGGTGGGTGGATGGGTGGGTGGGTGGGTGGATGGGTGGGTGGGTGGGTGGGTGGGTGGGTGGGTGGATGGGTGGGTGGGTTGAGTGGACGTGTTGGGTAGCGGTGGGTCGGGTGGTGGATGGGTGGATGGGTGGGTGGGTGGGGGTGGGGTGGGTGGATGGGTGGGTGGGTGGATGGGTGGGTGGGTGGATGGGTGGGTGGGTGGATGGGTGGGTGGATGGGTGGGTGGGTGGATGGGTGGGTGGGTGGGTGGGTGGATGGGTGGGTGGGTGGGTGGATGGGTGGGTGGGTGGGTGGGTGGATGGGTGGGTGGGTGGATGGGTGGGTGGGTGGGTGGATGGATGGGTGGGTGGGTGGATGGATGGATTGATGGGTGGGTGGGTGGATGAGTGGATGGGTGGGATGGGTGGATGGGTGGGTGGATGGATGGATGGGTTGAGTGGACGTGTTGGGTAGCGGTGGGTCGGGTGGTGGATGGGTGGGTGGGTGGGTCGGGTGGTGGATGGGTGGGTGGGTGGATGGGTGGGTGGATGGGTGGATGGGTTGAGTGGACGTGTTGGGTGGCGGTGGGTCGGGTGGTGGATGGGTGGGTGGATGGATGGGTGGGTGGATGGGTGGGTGGGTGGGTGGGTGGATGGGTGGGTGGGTGGGTGGATGGATGGATTGATGGGTGGGTGGGTGGATGGATGGGTGGATGAGTGGATGGGTGGGATGGGTGGATGGGTGGGTGGATGGGTGGGTGGGTGGATGGGTGGGTGGATGGGTGGGTGGGTGGATGGGTGGGTGGGTGGATGGATGGATGGGTTGAGTGGACGTGTTGGGCAGCGGTGGGTCGGGTGGTGGATGGGTGGGTGGGTGGGTCGGGTGGTGGATGGGTGGGTGGGTGGATGGGTGGGTGGATGGGTGGATGGGTTGAGTGGACGTGTTGGGTGGCGGTGGGTCGGGTGGTGGATGGGTGGGTGGGGGAAGCACCGGCAAAGATCCACATTACGAAAGGCGGCGGGCGGCACGTGCGGTGCGAGTGCAGTCACCGCGCGGTGACTCTCTCACTCTGACCGACGTCTCACCCCAATGCTCGTTGGTGCACGGAGGACGAGGAGGACGAGGAGGAGGTGACCCAAAAACCGCCTTCGCGTGACGCGGATACCAACGCAACAACCCCGACGACCCCGACTTCAACATTCGACGATTTTGCGACGCAGATCCACGTCCGCCGTCTGCCCCGGCGGGCAGAAGGGCGCAACGGGGGCGATCGAAAAGTGAAGCGTGGTGGTGGCGGGGGACAAAGTTTGTAATAATGCAGAGGTTGCCGTTCGCCGAGAAGGTGAAGTGAGCGCGAGAGAGAGAGAGACGGGACAGGAGACTGGAAAGAAAAGTTCGTCGTCGAAAGAACTGAGGCCGCCGCTGTTGTTGTTGTGGAGAGGGTAACGGCAGAGGTCGCAACCGGGTACCCGATACCCGTACCCCCTACCCGATACCCGGCTACCCAGCCGGGTACGGGTAGCCGTTTGCGACCCTGGTGCGGCCGGGTACGGGTACGGGTAGACCGTGAGTCACTGGTGAGTCACCGTTTGTCACTCATTTCCCAACGTCTTGTCTCTTCTCATGATTCGAGTTCCTAGAATCAACCCACCAGCGCCTGCAACATGGCTTCATCCCAGAGGTCGCAATCGGGTACCCGATAACCGTACCCTACCCGATACTCGGTCGGGTACGGGTAGAGTACGGGTACGGCTGGGTACGGGTACGGGTAGGGTACGGGTACGGCCGGGTACGGGTACCCGTTTGCGACCCTGGTGCGGCCGGGTACGGGTAAGGAATCAAAACCCTGGGGTGGAGGAGCGTTATGACGGCTGGAGGACGGGGGAGGAGGTGGAGGCGAGGGTGGGTTTCTAGTCCTGGGGGGGAGTGGAGGTGAGGGGGGGAAGGGGTGTTCCACCTTTAGAGAGAAAAAAAATCGAAGTCTCCACGCGTTTTTAAACGGGAGCGTTATTTGCCTGCCGCTATGAATCTCCACGCGGTAAGCCGCCAACAGCGCTGAGCCCTCTCGCTTGCGAAAGGCAGGTGAAGCTTGTGAAAAAAGAACTAAGCAGGCGTTCAGTTGAGGGGGTGGTGGGGCAGCCTTGCACCTGCTAAAATAAAATTGTAGTAGGGGCGGTGGAGATAATCCGGGAGAATGATGAATAACGTACGTACGTTAAAACCTCTTTCGCACCGTACGTGTCCGACCGTGCTAATCGGATGTGCGGCGGGGGGAGGAGGAGAGGGGGAGGGGGGTGAATCGACAAACTAAACACAACAACAACAACAACAAGCGTTCGAAATAATTGAGTTTGTCGATGCTAGATGATGATGACGACGACGATTTAAAAAGTGCAAAGCTGCCCCAGTGGCTTCCGAAACGCCGGCAAGAAGAGCGTTCCAGACGGCCGCAATTGCGCGTCCGATGGCGCCGCGGGACCATGAGAGCGGGTGACCACCGCAGCCAGGAAATCCCTCCACTGTGAGGATGGACGCTGTGAGGATGGACGCTGTGAGGATGGACGCTGTGAGGATGGCCGCCGTGAGGATGGCCGCCGTGAGGATGGACGCCGTGAGGATGGACGCCGTGAAGATGGACGCTGTGAGGATGACGCTGTGAGCAACTTGCGGCAAAACGAGGGACGGTGTTATCGGAGCGATCTCCGCAAGCCGCGGAGAGAAAGGGGGTGAGAAGTGTCGGAGCAGACATATTGATTTCGCTGCGAGTCTGACCATCTGTGTGAGTCTGTGGGTCTCTGTGTGTGAGTCTGTGGGTCTGTGTGCGAGTCTCTGTGTGAGTCTGTGTGAGTCTGTGGGTCTCTGTGTGAGTCTGTGGGTCTCTGTGTGAGTCTGTGGGTCACTGTGAGTCTGTGGGTCTCTGTGTGAGTCTGTGGGTCTCTGTGTGAGTCTGTGGGTCTCTGTGTGGGTCTCTGTGTGAGTCTGTGGGTCACTGTGAGTCTGTGGGTCACTGTGAGTCTGTGGGTCTCTGTGTGAGTCTCTGTGTGGTGAGTCTGTGGGTCTGTGTGCGAGTCTGTGGGTCTGTGTGCGAGTCTCTGTGTGAGTCTGTGGGTCTCTGTGTGAGTCTGTGGGTCTCTGTGTGAGTCTGTGGGTCTCTGTGTGAGTCTGTGGGTCTCTGTGTGAGTCTGTGGGTCTCTGTGTAAGTCTGTGGGTCTGTGTGTGAGTCTGTGGGTCTGTGTGTGAGTCTGTGGGTCTCTGTGAGTCTGTGGGTCTGTGTGTGAGTCTGGGTCACTGTGTGAGTCTGTGGGTCTCTGTGTGAGTCTGTGGGTCTCTGTGTGAGTCTGTGGGTCACTGTGAGTCTGTGGGTCTCTGTGTGAGTCTGTGGGTCTCTGTGTGAGTCTGTGGGTCTCTGTGTGGGTCTCTGTGTGAGTCTGTGGGTCACTGTGAGTCTGTGGGTCACTGTGAGTCTGTGGGTCTCTGTGTGAGTCTCTGTGTGGTGAGTCTGTGGGTCTGTGTGCGAGTCTGTGGGTCTGTGTGTGAGTCTCTGTGTGAGTCTGTGGGTCACTGTGTGAGTCTGTGGGTCTCTGTGTGAGTCTGTGGGTCTCTGTGTGAGTCTGTGGGTCTCTGTGTGAGTCTGTGGGTCTCTGTGTGAGTCTGTGGGTCTCTGTGTGAGTCTGTGGGTCTCTGTGTGAGTCTGTGGGTCTCTGTGTGAGTCTGTGGGTCTCTGTGTGAGTCTGTGGGTCTGTATGTGTGTTTAGGGAGTTTCTGTATGAGTCACTGGTGACAGGGGTTGGACCATCAACTCACGACACTTCAGAAGCCGGTTTAATAGCAAGTAAATATACGTGAGTATGTCAGTCTCTGTGTGCGTTTGTGGGTCTGTGTGAGCTTATGGGTATCTGCGTAAGTCTATGGGTCTAAGTGCAAGTCTATAGGTCTCTGTGCGAGTCAATGGGTCTATGTGCGAGTACGGGTATCTGTGGGTCTGCGAGTCTACGTGTGAGTATATGGGCCCATGTGCGAGTCTGTGGGTCGCTGTTTGTCTGTGTGAGTCTGCAAGTCTACGTGTATCCGTGGTGTGCCTGCGGATCTCATGTGCGAGTCTACGTTTCTGTCCGAATCGGTGGGTCTCTGTGGTTGTGGTGGCGTCTTAATGACTTCATCGCCAACACAATTTTGTGGTTTTGATGAATCACCACAACTGCTTACAGCTCCCCCAGTGCCCGAGTGTAACGCGGCTGGAAACTGAGAAATCTTACGAGTGGCTGGGATCGTTTTACCACGATCCCAAGCATCGGGGGGGGGGGGGGGGGTGGCAGGGGAGCGGAGGAGGAGGAGGTCATCTGGAAAATCCCGGGTGGAATTCCGGAATGTTGGAATGCGTCGACTCACTCCACGCGGCCCAAGTTTCTTTTCAACTGGGGAGGTGCTGATTCTAGATTTGAAGCTTTCGTGACTGCAATGATTCATATTCTTAGGTTTTTTCGGTAAAGTCACGTAGGTAAAAACATTAAAAAGTAAAATAAAATAAAAATCACGACGTTTCGGAGGCAACACAAGCCTCCGTCTTCAGGCGGTACCGTCACAGCCACGACAGCTGTATCAAGTAAATGAGAGATTGCAAGAGCTACCACTCCGTATATATAATGCGTAGCTCCTGCAATCTCTCATTTACTTGATACAGCTGTCGTGGCTGTGACGGTTCCACCTGAAGACGGAAGCTTGTGTTGCCTCCGAAACGTCGTGATTTTTATTTTATTTTACTTTTTAATGTTTTTACCTACGTGACTTTACCGAAAAAAACCTAAGAATGTGGGGAGGTGCTGACAGGGATGATGGACGTGGGGGAGGTTGGAGTTTTAACAAGGCCCAAGTCGCTAGGATGTCTGCCGGGCATGGCGGCGTGGGTGCCTCTCCAGAGCAGTGGCGATGATCGACCATCCTGCACCTGCGACTCGGGAAGACTGGGGACTCAGGACCAGACACTCTGGGTGTAGGGACTCAGGGAGACTGGGGACTCAGGGACCAGACACTCTGGGTGTAGGGACTCAGGGAGACTGGGACTCAGGAAGAGTGGGACTTGGGGAGACTGGGACTTGGGGAGAGTGGGACTCAGAGAGAGTGGGACTCAGGGAGACTGGGACTTGGGGAGACTGGGGACTCAGAGACCAGAGACTCTGGGTGTAGGGACTCAGGGAGGACTGGGACTCAGGGAGACTGGGACTCGGGGAGAGTGGGACTCAGGGAGAGTGGGACTCGGGGAGAGTGGGACTCGGGGAGAGTGGGACTTGGGAGACCAGGACTCAGGGTCTAGAGCAGAGATGGGCAACCAAGATGGGCTACAGGCTTGGCACCAACAGTGACCCCCGGCGCATCACCACCCAGAGCGGTGTTCTTCACTCATCTCCACAGGGGAAGGGGGAGGGGGGGAAGGAACTCGTCAATAAGACATCGGTCAGTGGTGCGAGGGGCCATGTGAAACTGTTGGGGTTGTGCAGCACGATGATGATGGTGGTGATGAGGGGGGAGGTGGGTTTTGACTTTTGTGTTTTGTCGGGGGGGGGCCGCCAGTTCTCCGGAGGGCCTTGCAATGAATAGCGTCTACTAGAAGCTTCCAGCAGCATCCCGATGCCTCGTGCGACGACGATGTTGATGACGATGATGATGACGATGATGACGATGTTGATGATGATGACGACGACGACGATGATGATGATGATGATGACAACGATGACGAGTTGATGACGACGATGACGACAACGACGACGATGATGGTGATGATGACGACGACGACGATGGTGGTGGTGATGCGAGGTCGAGGCGGCCGTTACCACCACCGCTTGCTCCCACTTGGCGCTGCGACGACGTAGGAGTTTCCGTTCACGCTCCACCGCGTTGTACATATCAAAGTTCGCATCTGCGTCGTAACAAAACTCACAACGACGCATTCCCCACCGCCCACCCCCCCCCCCCCCCCCCCCCCCCCCAAAATACGTTCACCGTTGCGTTTTACACGTAGAGAACATCTCTCCGGATAGATCTCTCTGTCTCTCTCTGTCTCCAAGACACGCAGCGTCGTCGCAAGAGAACGGACCGTACCGACGCCAAGTCGTCTGTGATGATGATGCGGTGAGGAGGCGCTGGAGCCCAAGCGGGTGTTCTTCTCTCTAAAACTAAACCACTTTTTTATTATCTTGCCTGGTGTAACGCCCCCGCCCCCCGCCTCCCCCTCCAACTGAGCTGCGGTGTAGCGCTCTCTCTTTTTCGTCGAAGCGGCCCGCCCATCGCAAACGACGGCTTGACACAATCGTCGTTACCGTGTGGAAATCTACAGCAGCAGGCAAATGCTCCGGACGCGTGGCTGGGCGATGTCGATTTTAAGCGTGGAGGGGATATAAAAGAACCAGAGGACCCAGAGACAAATCCACGCGACCACCACAGGGGGAGAAAAGAAGAGAGAGACACGTAAACTCTAAGCAGCAGGCGTAGTCAGGGGTCGGGATCAAACCCACGACCTCCTGCGTACCAGGCGAGGTAGTCAAGATCTCCTAGCAACCGTGATGATGATGCGAGAGAGAGAGACACGCAAACTCCAAATGTACAGCAGCAGCAGCAGGCGTAGTCAGGGGTCGGGATCGAACCCACGACATCCTGCGTACCAGGCGAGGTAGTTAACATCTCCTAGCCACTGTGATGATAATGATGAGAGAGACACGCAAACTCTGAATGTATAGCAGGCTTCGTCAGGGTCGGGATCGAACCCACGACCTCCTGCGTACCAGGCGAGGTAGTCAAGATCTCCTAGCCACCGTGATGATGACGATGAGAGAAAGACACGCAGACTCTAATATACAGCAGGCGTTGTCAGGGGTCGGGATCGAACCCACGACCTCCTGTACACCAGGCGAGGTAGTCAACATCTCCTAGCCACCGTGATGATGATAATGATGAGAGAGACACGCAAACTCTGAATGTATAGCAGGCGTTGTCAGGGTCGGGATCGAACGCACGACCTCCTGTACACCAGGCGAGGTAGTCACATCTCCTAGCCACCGTGATGATGATAATGATGAGAGAGACACGCAAACTCTGAATGTATAGCAGGCGTTGTCAGGGTCGGGATCGAACGCACGACCTCCTGTACACCAGGCGAGGTAGTCAACATCTCCTAGCCACCGTGATGATGATAATGATGAGAGAGACACGCAAACTCTGAATGTATAGCAGGCGTTGTCAGGGTCGGGATCGAACCCACTACCTCCTGTACACCAGGCGAGGGTAGTCAACATCTCATAACCACCCGCGGCTTCATCGTACAGATGCCCTCCCCACCCCCCGTCCGGCTCTGTAAACGCGTTAATAAAACATAAAACGTGGCAAACGTTGCGGACGTGATTATTTATTTAAAGATATCATCTCCTACTACATAAACTAAAGACCTTGATGCGTATGTCCTCAAGGAAACAACTCTATTGTACTTCCCGACAAGGTAGATAGGACAGCTGAAATTTGGTGCAACAGGGGGCTTTTAGGACCCCCAAATCTCGATTTTAAGTGCCCCCGTAAACCACGTTTTGTGCGTGGTATCATTCCGAAACTGTTCAAAATATAAGATTGCGTTTTTTTATTGTTTTATAAGAGCGTTAGGCGGCAATTAGATTA